AAGAGTAAACACAGCTTAGTAAGAAAAGAAAAACTTCTGATCTCCAGATGCACTGCAGAGGGAAGCTGGGAACACAGAATCCTTAAGGCTGTAACTTAGCATTACTAAGGGCACAAACCACCCAAAGTTAAATGCTCTAAAGTTGAATGAAATAGGAAAAAGTCATGTGCATTTAATTTCTTAGCAAAAATCAGGGATAGGGATAGAGTTGTTAATTGCAATTAGGGTTATTAATTGCAAGCAGAACTGAGGTGTATGCCTGAGCAGGTGCACAAGCTCATACCCACCAGATTCGGCAACTGTGAGTTAAACTAACCCTAACCCTTACCTGCCATTACGTGTGAACTGGACCTGCTCAGTGGGCAATTCTGAGCTAGATGTACCAATGCTCTGACTCAGTTAGCAGCTAATTAGCCACTGTACAAGGTGTTACTGCTGGTTTCCAAGGGCCCAAACAGTTCAGGACTGGTTTTCTGAGGAACGGCCTTCACACTAGCCTCTCCCTTCTGAGGAAGAGGCCTTGTTTACTGTACCACAGCCTACCAAGCCTGTTTTGACCATGGTGTGGGGGCCTTCTCAGCTGTGGCACCTAAAATCTAGAAAGATCTCTCCCTTGAGATCAGGCAGGCCTCTGGTGCAGAAGAATTTCTGCTGAGAACTAGAGAGCATCTCTTTGCCCAGGAATCTCCCTGATGATGAGCATTGTCAGCTAACTTTGCTTGTTATTTTACCTAGATATTTTATTGCCATATTACCATTTTACTATTCATTTTATGGCAAATCATGCTTTTAACTCGTGAACTGCTGTGGGGTCATTCTTGGTTTCCTAAAATGAAAAGTGATATAGAAATTTTCTAAAAGAAACGTGTTCAAAGGCTAGGCCAGAGAAGTGGTATACCAGGTGTATTCTCATGTTTGAGGAAGTATTTCCATGCTATATAAAGAATGTCATTAACAGTGCTGTTGGGAAACTAGAAACTGCATCATCTGCGACCGTCATTCAGAGGAACGACATCAGAGGACTCATCTGCACAAGGCAAATACAGCCAGTCCCCCAATTAATGAATGGCCTATTTAAGGATGACCCCTGCTTATGAACAAGCCAACCTGGAAGTCCCACCTTGTCTTTGAGTTGCAAGCAGGTGCCCACAGGTGGCAAACACCAGGCAGCAAGGAGAGGAAGAAAGGAGAAAAGAGGGGAAGAACAGGAAGGGAAGGGAAGGGAAGGGAAGGGAAGGGGGGAAAGTGACAAATGGCAAAGTTGAGACTGCAGTAGTTCTTCATGCTCATGGAAAAACTGGCATATGCAAGCCGATGTGTTTCAGATCACACGGAGTTAGTGATGCCTTTTGTAACTGTGCAATGTACTTGTTTTGTAACCACGCCTCCAAAGCATAAATGGTACAAGTCCTTCCTCTCCAGCAACACAATCAAACCCTGATTCTCCATCACCAGTCCCAGTTAATGTTAAGATTAATGTCAGCTCAGGAAGTGTTAACCTTTAATAATCTTTTTTACTATTTTTCCTACATACAGACTCTCTGTCTCTCTCCAGTTCCTGTAGTGACTTTATAATTACTGCATTATTACCATTAGTACAATGCTGCATTGTGTTTAAGATGTTTGAGTGTACATGGAAGTGTTTTTTCAGTGTTTATATGCTTTTCATATATGTGATCTAACTTACATACAAATTCAACTTAAAGATGATCTCAGGAATGGAACTAGTTCTGAACCCAGGAACTGGGTGTACCAACAACACAAATCTCCACTAGTTCAAACAGCCTTGATCACCCCATCACCCTGCCTCAGTCATAGAATTTTGCCGAAAACTGAGCCATGTCTTCCACCGGTAGACCTCCTCTGTCTTCCTACTGCTTCCTTCATCCTTTATCCAGATGCAGAAGACAACTTAAGGGAAAAAAGCAGAATATACTTTCTGATCTGTCTAGAAGCATCCAGCGGGCGACACAGTTCATATTTTGTGCAAATTTTGCATACCATGAGCCCTTAAAAATATTTCCTTTCCGTTCCATTTCATTTTCTTCCAATACTACTTCTTGCACTTCTGGGTTAATGCAAAGGAAGCATCATAGCAGCATAGATGTCCTCCTATACAGAGCAGTCTACAATGCCTAAGGGTTTACAGTGAGCTCCACCTGCATCTGGGGTCTCCGGTGTGGCACCTATGGGCAAAAATATCCATGCAGACACCTCCCATAGTGCCTGCCAGGATCCCTGCCCATCCCAATTTTTATGTTGTCTCTTAATATTAAAAGAAAATAAGTGGGAGTCTGGCATCCTGCAAAGCAAAGGACCCCACACTCTCTTTATTCAGGTTACAAAGTGCTTTTCTTTTTGGGGCTCTGCCTTGTAATTAGGTTCTTTTTCTCTCACCACTTTGGGAAATCACCATTTTGTAAGTGGTCGTGCCCACCAGCCCACCAGGATTGCCATTCGTAAATGAACAACCTCCCCGACCACGACAGCAATTCTGTGACAGCACCCAGGGCATTCCAGTAAGATTCAGAATGCTTGGGACCCCATCCTCATAATCATCCAGATCACGGAAACTGAGCAAAGTCAGGGGTCACACGGCTATTCCCCCACTTGCTCAGCTCCTTCCTACCTAAAATATCATCAGACCCAGAGAGCAAGGAAGAGGCTGAAGGGGGCTGAGTGTAGGTGTTACCTTCCCCAATTCTGCCCATCTAAAGATGCCTCCTTGCGCCAGAGCATACATGGGAACAGGAGCAGCCCAGAACCAGGAGTTCTCTGAACTCTTGCTAAATCAGCGTTTCTGCATCGGGAATCCAAGCGGAGATTCCTGTCACTGGTTCAGGGCCACCGTGTCTACAGTCGGGGGAATACAAATAAGCCATTCCCACTTTATATGCTTCATACACGCAACACAGAACAGAACTCTGTGTATATAACTATATTATCCTGGATTTCTACTTTCAGCACAAATTGCTTCAGAGTGTTGAAACAATCTGTTTAATCAAACATTAACTTTACAATCTTGTCTAAACCAATGCCCAGATGCTCTTCCAAGGTCTCTTAAATCAATCAAAATGCTCAGCTAAAACTGCAGAGAGGGTTTTATCCTCTACTTAAACATAATTATACCAGAAAGTATGTATTTGCTTGTATTAAGCAGTTTCTTTATTGTTAGATATATGGGATTCAGAAGGGTGGCCGAAAGAATAAATGCAACAGTAAAGATTTTTTCAAAGTTAAGGGACACAGAAAATTAACTGAATTTGGTGCAACTGCCATAAACACACATCTGGCAAGAGGTCCTGAGTTTCACAGAGCCAGGCTTCCAATGGCATATTGACACATGCAGTTGAGAGAGAAGCCTAATCTATTGATCTGGTGGAAACTAATTCTGGCCTTGAAGGCCAGAGGTGGAAAACTTTTCCGTCTTACAGCTTCATTCTCTCATGGTTAACCTTCCAGAGGCCAAGCTGGGCAGGGTTGCCCCACACACTTTCATGCATTCACATCCATTAATAAACATTCATGTGCATGTGCATTTATACATACACACACATGCATAAACAGTCATAGTCACACATGGCACATACCCATTCACATATGCACACCTATGTTCTGGCTCTCAACCTAGCATCCCACCCTCAAGCAATTAGACTGGGGGAAACCTCTGATTACTACCAGTGGGGAGAGATTTACTAATTGGAAGGTTATGGGGTACAGGGGGAGCCGCCCCTCTTTTCATTTGTGCCTCATTGAAAGTGGCCCTCTGGGGCAATCCAGCTTCAACCCACTGAAGGCCATTTTCAAGTCAAGCTGCTCTGCAGGAAAGCAATTTTCAGTGGGGAATCACAGCTTGCGTGGATGGGTGAGTTGACCCTTCCCTCTGCACAGCACATCACCACTCTGTAAATGCCCCCTGTGGCAATGAAGCCTTGAAAAGAGGCTCTCCCTGGCTCCTTTTGAAGCCTGACAGCTATACAGGAGAGTGAGGCAAGGACTGGAGAGTGAGACCCACATCAGAAGTGAGCCAACCTCATTTGGAAAGTTTGCCAAAAGCCAGAAGCAGGGGACAATCTGCAGTCTGGATTAGTGCAGTCACTGTAAGCATCACTTTGTGGAACAAAGAAAAGGACAGCAGAGCTCAGCTACTGGGGAAATTTGCACAGCTTTGTTAGCTGAATTTCTGCAACTAGAAAACACAAATTCTGCAGACAAAAATTGCTCATCTATGCAAATACTGAAGTGTCTTCATGGTATTCCTATTTTGTAAATGAGGACCCAAGCTTGAAACCTAAATGGCCCTATTCTCAGATATTATACTTTTGGATGAGACCACACAGGTTCTTGATACATACCAATGGCCATGGTTCATTAGTTGTAAAGAGAGTTTTCGACCCCATTTGAGCTTTTTTGAAAATACTATGGAGGCAAACTAAATAACATCACAATCATTACATTATTGTTGACCGAACACTTGACCTATATACGTATTTCCCAGAGAGTCAGAGTGGCTTCTTCCTGCATTATCTTGACAACCATCCCTCCCTTTGCAATGACATGAAACTAGTATCCTTTGCTTATTGTCTTCTACTAGCACACAGCTCAAATGTTCATTTCTTATAGCTGCCTCTACAAATCAGAAATGTTCTCCCTTACCAGCACAGTTGCAGCAATATAAATGTGGACTATTTTGAATCCCATCTGATTAGTTAACGATAGCTTTCAGGAATGTCCAATATTTGGTTGGATACAACAGACAGATAGCTATCGTGACACAAATATTGACAAAGATTAATCCTTGTTATTAGCATATTTCCACCCCACTCTTAACCGCACTCAGTCATAATGAATATTCAGCTAACTTAAATTCCATACATTTCAGTGGATATGATTCTGCAGTAGGCTCTAATTCCAATCACACTTTTTTCGGCAGTATAATTTGAAGTCTCATGTCTTCTACTTGAAAGGCAAAACTAAGGAGATAGTTCTTTTTTACTCACCTCCACCATATGTAGCGGCCAACATAATTGAAGATACCCAAGCAATTTCACTGTATGATGTGCCAAAGAAATCCTGGATTTCTTTGTAGAAGATTGCTATGCCTTTTGGAAAGGCATATGAAAATCCAATGGATATAAATGCTCCGAAAACCACTGCCCATCCCCATCCTCCATCTGGAGGGGAACAGGCTAGGCTTGTGTCTGCTGGAGGAGGCATATCAAGGCTAAAAAAGCTCCCTGTAACCACTTTTCTGGAAGCCCTGAAAAACAAAGTGCACACCTACAATCAGCTTGTATCACATTCCCACAAGCAGTTCACATACACTTACACAATTCCTCCTCTCCTTTTCTTAATCATCTCAGCCTTCATATTAAGATGTGTAAAACCTGATAGCTCCTGAAATACACATCATCTATCTTTCGGCAATCTTAAGAAAGCTTTACTCACCAATCTGATTACGGCTGATTTCTGTGGAACTAGTTTCCAAGTGTTGATGGTTGGGACTGTGCCACTGTTTCTTTCCATATTGTGTTTAGGATTCCTACCATCAGATAGGATTATGTCCAAGAAGGTGGATGGTTTCTCTACACATTAGCATGCTACTCTTTAGGCAATGTTGTTGTGTAAATATTTGAGGCTGTATTGAGGTTGCAATCTTTAATAGTGATAAACCATCCACCTCTGAAGTGACACAGACCACAGACTCCTGGTCCATTTCTGAACACAATTCAAGGAGCTGGTTCTAAAGTCCTGAATAGTCTGAAATCAGAGTATCTTAAGGACCACTATTCCTCTATGACTCTGGCCAGCCACTGAGATCTTTATCGGTGGCCAGGCTGTGGGTACCTTCACCTGGGTAAATACTGCTAATAGGTGTCTTCTCTGGCTCTCTTCTATGGAAATTGCTCCTCTTATCCATTTGTTTCCAAGTGCCAGATAGAAACCTTGCTATCTTGGGGTTTAATGGCATTAAATACTCCCACTGAAAGTCTATTTTATTTATTTGACTGCTACCTGACCTATGGTTACTAGGAAGGATATTGTTTTAATTAATTAATTAATTAATTAATACAGCCACATTGCTAACGGCATAACTCTGATTAATTTGGGTATATTCAAATCATATTTTCTGTACCTTATATAAATTATTGTGCTTTAAAAAAAAAGTTTAATTCTAGATTTCTTCCGGAAGCCTAATAGCTGCTTGGCTTTTTTTCTGTATGAGCAATCAAGTATGTAAAAAAAAATTAACTTCAGAGGTGGTTATTACTTAAGACACAAAGGCTATGTTAAAACCAGTTCTGAGTCTCTAGGCAACTGCTCTTAAGCAAAGGTAACTGAGAGAAGATATAAATCCAGGCAGAAATTTGATACAATCAATTCAATTTTTCTGAACTGCTGCTTTCATTGTTTCATTTTTTCATACCCTCATCAATGGATTGCAAATGTTATTCAAGGAAAACAATATATGATGCATCGTTTACTACAAAATTTACAGTGTCATGTTAAAACAGGCAAATAACGCTTGCAGTAAAAGAGGCTTATGTTTTTGCAATTAACTTTTATGATGTTTAGATGCATGTAACTAAAAAATAATATTGGAGACAGCCCTGAAATTACAGAATTTTATAGTCTCCAGAACTATCATCATTCAGAGAGAAGACTAACACACAATAACACATACTCAAAAAGATACAACCTTCCTTCCTGACAAGGAATACAGATTCATATGCAACTATATTACACATGAAGAATGGAATCCAGTACCCATTTACCTGGGAATAAGCCCCATTGAATTAAATGGGTATTACATATGAATACACAAGATTGTACTATAAGCCTACATAAAATATGCTGTGCATTAAGTTTCCATATGAACTGAATGCATACTGTACATATTTGAAATGGATATTCAAAATCTTGGCTACATTTTAGATTTATATTATACAGTACTCACTTTGCACAGTCTGTTCACTTGCACTTTGTTCAGATTGCACAGGTAAAACGCTCACAGTACCTTACTGCGAGTTGTTCTCTCTGATTTGTCTACACAACTAACCACACACTCATACTTCCAAAAAAAAAAAAAAACTGGCCTGATCTAACACATGACTTTTCGGTGCTGAGGAAGTGGAGTTGGAAGGGAGACAGCGAGCATGAAAAGTTGTACTATTAGGAAAAGAGGGTTGCTGCTCTCCACATGATCTGAATCCGCTCGGCCTTCCAGGGTAATGTCAACGAATATCTCTCCGCGGAGTGCTAACAGTGTGGAAGTCGCAGCGCATCAGCAAAGTTAATGGCAGGGCTGAAGTTTCACTACTGCAGATCCTCAGGTCTGCAAAGGGAATAACGGCGTGCGGGCCACTGATCAGGCTAAGCGCAGAACTGCCACCTCTGCGCGCACTCACGGGCGCACCGGAAGGCCGGAGGAAGGGATCCCACAGCGCAGTCCAGTGCATGCTTAGACAGAGAGGTCCCACGGCCCCCTGTTAAGCCAGCCAGCCAGCCGTTTTCCCCGGGCAAGCGTCCGGGGTAATACTTTCCCTAGCTTTTCGGACAGTCCGCCGAGGTAGAAAGAGCGCACGCGCACACGCGGAGGACACGCTGGCACGGGGCTGGCACGCACACGCAGGCACACGCGCAGCGCCCGAACGGCCGCGCACGGGCATCCGCGGCGCACACGCGCCTCCCGCCCTCCCGCCCTGGGTCGCCCGTGGCGGGCGCGCGGCGGGCGGGCGCGCGCTTACCTGGCCCCGCGCTCCGGCTCGCGCGGTCGCTGTGTGCGCTCGGGGCCTCGGAGCGCCGCGGGATGTGCGAGAGGCCCGGGGAGGGGCCGGGCGCGGGAGGGGAGCCGCGGCGCCGTCCGTGTGCGCGTGTGCGCTTGAGGCACCTCGCCAAGAGGCAGAGCCGCCTCCCCGCAGCCGCTGCCGCTTTTTCTCACGCCCCGCCGGCCCGGGGAAGGGGCGGCACGGCCTCCCTGGCGCTCCCGCCGCTGCCCACGCCGCCTTCCCGGCCTCACGGGGGAAAGCTCTCTGCGCCATTCCTACATTCTCGTCCGCAACTTTTCTTCCCTTTCTGGCAAGGAACGCAACGCAATACCCACTCCCTCTCCGTGTTACCCTCACAGCAACCCTGCGAGGTGGGTTGGGCTAAAAGACAGCGCCCCAAAGGGATCCGCTCGGATTCTGCATGGTTGCCCTGTGCCCTCAGGTCGTCCCCGACTTACGCCCCCGATGAATGAAAGCTCTCCAAAATGTCCTGTCCGTTCAGCACTTCCAAGTTCAAGGCTGTGGCTGCTTTTATGGAATCAATCCATCTCATAGTTGGTCTTTTCCTTCGTTTTTTGCCTTCGACTTTCCCTGGCATTATGGTTTTGCCTTTTCAGGATTTCGTCGAAGTAGGACAGCCTCAGTTTTGTCATTTTGCTTCTAGGGAAAGTTCTGGCTTGATTTGATCCAGAAGCCATTTGTATGTCTTTCTGTCAGCCCAGGTATTCACAAAGCTCTCCACCGGCACCCTATTTCCAATGAATCCATTTTCTACCCCTTGGCTTTCTTTCCTGTCCAGCTTTCACATTGATACATTGTGACATACAGATACATACAGTGGTTTGGAAGATCTTGACCTTGGTGTCTAATGAAATGCCCTTACACTTGATTATCTTTTTCAGTGCTTTCATTGCTGCCCTTCTGATTCTCCTTTGAATTTCTTGGCTGCAGTGAATTTCTTTCACAATGTCAATTTTTCATTAACAATAAAATTCTGTAATACTTCTGTGAACATGATTTTTGTTTTCTTAATATTCATCTGCTTTTGCAATTTCTTTCACTTTTATCAGGACTTCTTTCATGTCATTGCTGTTTTCTGCCAGTAGTATGGTATCATCTGCATATCTTAAATTCGTGATGTTTCTTCTGCCAATTTTCATTCCTTCCTTTGATTCTCTTCCAGCTTTCGTTATATGTTGTGCATACAGACAGAACAGATAAGAAGATTGTCCTCTTTGCCTGGAACTTTTGCCTGTGGGAAACCATTCAGTTTCTCCGTGTTCTGACCTGACGGTATTTATTTATTTATTTAGAAAATTTCTATGCCACCCCATTTGCCAAAGCCTCGGGGCGGCTCACAAATATATCAATTAAAATATTATACAATAAAAATATAAAACAAGTTAACAATATACAATAAGTCACCCTGGCTGAAGAATAAAATAAATAAATAGTATTAACAGTTAATAAAAGGACATTTGAATAAAAAGGTCTTTGTCTGGCGCTGAAAAACAAATAACGACGGCGCCAGGCGGACCTCTCTGGGGAGCGCATTCCATAGATTGGGCGCCACCGCAGAGAAAGCCCTCCTCCGAGTACTTACCGTCCTAATTTCCTTCACGGAGGGTTCCCGGAGAAGGGCCTCTCCTGCAGATCTCAGGGGTTGGGCAGGCATATATGGACGTAAGCGCTCCTTCAGGTAACCAGGACCCAAGCCGTTTAGGGCTTTATAGGTCATCACCAACACCTTCAATTGGGCCCGGACTTCAATCGGAAGCCAGTGAAGCTGACGGTGGACTGGAGTCATGTGAACATAACGCCCCGTCCCTGTCAGCAGCCTGGCAGCTCTATTTTGAACCAATTGAAGTATCCGGACCGTCTTCAAGGGTAGCCCCACGTACAGCGCGTTACAGAAGTCAAGGCGGGAAGTCACCAATGCATGTGTCACTGTCGCCAGGCAGTCGTACTCCAGGTAGGGGGCGCAGCTGATGGATCAGCCGAAGCTGAAGGAAAGCGCTCCTTGCCACTGCTGTCACCTGAGTTTCCAGTGAAAGCTCTGAGTCGAGGAGCACTCCCAAGCTGCGGACCTTGTCCCTAAGAGGGAGTGCAACCCCATTCAGGACTAGGTTCAATTTACCTTCCCCAAAGCCTGATCCACCAACCAACAGGACCTCCGTCTTGTCTGGATTGAGCTTCAGTTTATTGGCCCTCATCCAGCCCATTACCTCGGCCAGGCACCGGTTCAGCACAGCCACTGCCTCACCTGGATTGGTGGAAAACGAGAGGTAGAGCTGGGTATCATCAGCGTACTGATGATTCCGCAGCCCACACCTCCTGATGACCTCTCCCAGTGGTTTCATGTAGATTTTAAAAAGCAAAGGGGACAAAATGGACCCCTGTGGTACTCCATGGCATAGCTGCCATGGCACAGAGCCATAGTCCCCCAGCACCACCTTCTGGAATCGGTCATTGAGATAGGAGCGGAACCACTGCAAAGCAGTGCCTCTGACCCCCAATACCGCTAGCCTATCCAGAAGTATACCATGGTCGATGGTATCGAAAGCCACTGAGAGGTCCAGGAGAACCAACAGGGACACACTCCCCCTGTCCTTCTCCCTGCACAGGTCATTGTACAGGGCGACCAAGGCAGATTCAGTACCGTACCCTGGTCTGAAGCCGGACTGAAATGGGTCCAGAAAATCAGTTTCATCCAAGAGAGCTTGGAGTTGTCCCACCACCACCCGCTCCAAGACCTTGCCCAGAAACAGGAAGTTGGCCACTTGTCTATAATTAGTGGCCATCTCTGGATCCAGTTATGCTTTCTTCAGGACCGGTCAGACTACCACCTCCTTTAAAGGGGCAGGTACCCGACCCTCCCTCAGAGAAGCGTTAACCATTTCCAAGATCCAGATCCCAATCCCGTGCTTGGCATTATTTATTAACCAAGACGGGCAAGGGTCCAATAGGCAAGTGGTGGGACATACTTGTCCAAGCACCTTGTCCACATCATGGGGCCGCAATAACTGAAATTCATCCAATAATTCTGGCCCAGACGGCAGCATTGGTGTCTCCCCAGAAACCTCTGAGTCACTAGTAGAGTCTAGCTCATGACGAATCTGAGCGATTTTCTTCCTGAAATGCTTGGCAAAGTCATCACAGCGGGCCTTTGCGGGTGGAACCAGATCTTTCTTAGGACCTGGACGAACCAGGCCTTGCACCACTCGAAAAAGCTCCGCCAGACGGCATTTTGAGGAGGCAATGGAAACGGAAAAGAATTTCTTTTTCGCCGCCCTCACCGCCACAGCATAGGCCCGATAATGGGCTCTCAAGTGTGTTCAGTCAGATTCATCCCGTGATCTCCTCTACCTACGCTCTAGCCGTCTCCCAGCCTGCTTCATCGCCCGCAATTCAGGTGTATTCCCCTTCACCAAGGGGAAGAGTGGGCTCTGCCCGGCAGGAGAGGACGCTTAGGAGCGATCGTGTCAACAGCCCTGGTCATCTCCCCGTTCCACAGTTCGACCAGAGCCTCGACAGGAGCACCAGTCTTTTCAGCCGGAAACTCCCCCAGGGCCTTCAGGAATCCATCCGGATCCATCCGGCTCCGGGGGCAGACCCACACTATCGGGTCCGCACCCTTACAGAGGGAGAGGCCGCTCTTGAGCACAAACCTCACCAGGAAGTGATCAGACCATGACAGGGGTGTCAGACATAAATGCCTCACCCTCAGACCACCCTCTTCCTGCCCCGTCGAGAAAACCAGGTCCAGAGTGTGTCCACGTTCATGGGTTGGGCCAGTGACATGTTGAGACAGCCCCATGGCTGTCATGGAGGCCATGAAGTCCTGAGCCGCTCCGGTCAGACCAGTCTCGGCATGGAGATTGAAGTCCCCCAGGACCAACATCCTGGGGGTCCTCAACACCAGGTCCGAGATGATCTCTGTCAGCTCAGGCAGGGAGACTTGTTGGGCAGAAGGGTGCACGGTACACCAACAGAATCCCCTATCTGTCTCGGTAGCCCAACACCAAGTAGAGGCACTCCAGCCCTGGCCTCGAAGTCCCGTGAGGGAGATGGAGGCTCGGTAAACCAAAGCGACCCCCCTCCCCTCCCCTCCAGGCGTGAACGGTGCTAAACCAGATACCCGGGCAGGCACATTTGAGAGAGGGTGACATCCCCCCCTCTCCCGCCCAGGTCTCCGTTATGCAAGCCAGGTCGGCCCCCTCATCCACAATCAAGTCATGAATGAGGGAAGATTTATTGTGGACTGACCT